TCATCAGAAAGGGTTTCCCGGTCCGGATTGTGCCCAGATGCAGGAGGTAGTAAAATAATCCCTAGCTAGTCGATACGGTATGCAGCAGCACTTGTTCAAAATAACTCACCTTCCACTTTCAAAGCTTGAAGAGCTGAAAAAGTGGGAATTCGCAGCCGAATTCCATGGAAATCAGCTGATTCGCCGTCACCGAGCCGCAGCCGCTGTCGCGTCACAGTGCAGCGCGGCTCAGCCGCCCCGACAGTCCGCAATGATGAGGACTGTAGGTCCCTGTTTCTGCATGCAAATTCATCGCACGAGGCGCGCAGCTGAATAACTGACCTAGCGACACATGTTGCGCAGCCGGGATATCTTGTATCGAGTTGGGTGAAATGGTGGTGTCAGCACGACTTCCCTAATTAACTGCTTCGAGAACCTCACCTCTCACAACCAACCTACGCTCTTACCAAGTTGTTCCGGATTCTGTAGACGAGCCGACGAGGGGAGGGAAATAGGCAACCGCTACTGCACGTACAAAATGAAAAAAATTAACAATCAGAAAAATTTTCTCTCGAGACGAAAAACGGCTCCTTTCACAGATGATTCAAATACAGCTCTCTGGTGACTATCGCTCAATAATTATTTGTGCTGCGTACAGCAGTCTTTTGACACTAACACTTTTACTGTGCATATACTACATTTTGCAGTTACTGTACTCAATGAGAAAGATCTCTAGTGCGATATTCTCTATCATATTGAAATTCAAGATGCAGAAATCAAGTGCTACATACCCTATGCACAGGAGTGAGCAGGTGCTTAGCATCGGGGATAGTGATCAGTCGAGGAGTTCGAGCATCCCAATAGACTCCATTGATAATAACTGTCGCGTAAGGAGCTATCTGAAATTGCGAATCCGAAGGCGTTCTTGCAATCTATTCATACACAGTGACATACATTTTGCTGGCTTCAATTTGGTTGCCTGAATACGAATATCCCATTCGCTTTGAGCCGAAACGCCTGGCCCGGCGGCACACACGGCAACTGTTAAACGCGGTGTTGCTGTGCAGACTCACCGGTGGAAGGAATGAGTGGATCGTACTCACGGACTTCTAGCAAGTTTGACGAAGACGCTCATAGCTAACACCACGAGTTTGCGCGCCGAACAAGTCCCATCTTCATATTTAGGGGGTCAACTACCTCCAGGACATGTTTCCAGCTAGTTTTGTGTCTGGGATACGGTTCCTTGAGACAATGTTCTGAAGAAACCCAAGGAGGAACTCGAAGATACAACCACGAGAATTCCGCAATTTGGAGAATCGGAAACTTGAAGAGCTGAGAATCATAGGTCAGTCGACGAATCATTTTGACGGTTTCTTTGAAATCCGCGATTATGCCCATCTCGCCTTTCTACTTCTCCACAAGGTAAAATCCATATCTCGGAGATGGGGAGGACGTGGCCGAGTACCTCAATTAAGGTGGCGTTCATGCTTAGCGACACAGTCTTTTGAGAGAAAAAGAAAGCCTAGGTATCTGTGCACGCTGAAAATACCGATTCTAACGAAACGCCAAGTCGCAAAGTATGAACGTGACCTTGACAGGCGCAGGATCCGCTTTTTGTACGATATTTGAGACAACTGGCATCCCGTCTTGTGCTGTATAAGGACAATATTACAATTGTCTCAAAACGAAAAAGTACTACCAAAAGACACCTATCGCCACATTCAAATGAAGTAGGCAGCCACGCCCCCATCATCTCCGGGGTATAGTGCACAAACGTCGCTTCAAGGCGCCGCAAGTGAAGGTGACGCGTCCTCTCCACGCAGCTGCTTCTAGAGGGTGAGGACCTTCCGAAAGAAAAAACTTCGTAACTCTTCTTGGTCTCAATCTCCGGTTCTTGTCATTAGTCTATTTAGTGCCTCTAATTTAATATTGGATCTTTTCGTGCGAAATCACACAGCCTACCTCAGTCGCAAATTTTGAGATATAGCGCTCAGGATGTTCCTCGAATTCGGCTTTATCAAATGGAGTTCCTGAATTGAGAACAGTAAAACTAAAGAAGCAAGGCAAAACATCACAAAAAATCGCACCTTTCTTCGACACCATGTGGTCAGCACGAGTAACAACACATCCGTACACCTTGTTCAACTCTAAATTACTCAATTCAAAATACTCACAGTGAATTCTTTCACCGAAGGACACAAGTATACTGAATGAACTCACGTCCTTTCTGTGCAACTTTTGGCAGTGTAGCAACGTCGACAAATTCATGTGGGAGGTGCTGGAAAAGCTCCTGGGCTCCCTGGGATACATTACCTGAGCCGGTGAACACAAAAACCAAAGGGCCGAGAGACCTGAAAATTACTGCGTAATTGAGGAGCAAAGATTCAATCGCAACCGCGGACGTTGACATCACTTTTTGGGACGCACCGCGCAATTTAGTTCCATTCCGTATCGCAGTGGAGTTTCAAACGTGATTTGACCAATGCAACGGCACGCGAGGCCAGCCAGCCAACGTGTACGTTATGGTTCCTACCCAGGCGGGCGGGTCTGGTACTAGTCTACCGACTCCAGAAGGGTAGAAGCTTAAATGATTCCAACGAAACTCGAGGAGTGATTCGAGCCTCTGGACCACACAAGGTGCTTGCCACCACGACCCCCTCTCAACCTCTTCCCGACTCAACACAATATAGGACCTGGACGTTCGAGAGTTTTGAATTTATCTCCAGCTTTTTTGGATTCCTGAAACCAGAACTTTTTCAGTTCAGAAAACAACAAGATCCTTACGCGTTCTGAGGAGCCAACGTTTTTTTTCAGTACAATTAATTAGAATTGGTTCATGTATCCAACAACTGAACCCTAGCGGAAAAAAATTAAGCTCAAGGGTGCCGTGACATTGAATGGGCGGGAGATCGGAAGCTTCGAAGGGCTGCGCGACATTGATAGGCTGGCCAGATCTTACATTACACGCATCCACAAATCCTGGCGCCCGACTGTGGCGCATCGAAGCGGTTCCTTACCAAGCCTCCGCAGCTGATGCGATTATCCCCCTTAATATCCCCGCATCATAACACATACAGTTTGTTCGCTGCGCGCTGGGTGGGACCTTTTTACAGTGATAGGTTTGGAGCTAAGTCCAGCCTATCTCGCACCGATTGTTGAGAGCAGGCAAGCTGGAACGATGGAGAAACAGGCACACAAAGAACAAGATGTTAAGCTTATCGCGTTCACTCACCTTGGCATTTTGTCGAGCGCGATTTCGTAGCCGATGTCGCGAAGGGCATTAATAGCTGAGTGAGAATCGCTGTAGTTGTGAGCAAGACCAACATGTAAAAATGGCGTGTGGTGACCAAGGGCTAATAACCTGAGAGTTTAGAAAATTCATTCGAACCCCAAAGAAGAACCCTCTTCTGAAGTTATCAGGAATGTATCAAACCTCAATCCGAGACCATGTAAAATGTCGATGAAACCTGCATTCCCAGCCCATTTTCCAAACATGACGAGACGTTTCCCCTTCTTGTTCACGATTTTTTCGTAATCTATTAGCCGAATTTTCTAGAAAACCCTTATTTTGCGGCACCAATCCAGAAGTAATGCACGAGCGACTTTACCCTTTGCAAGATGGTGTCCAACATTTCCATGTTGTCTTGTTGGGCTTTGATAGTATGCGAAAAGAATGCATAGGTCTTGTTAGCTATCAGCTGGTCAACAGGAACCTGGAAGTCACGAGACTGTCGTAAGTACTCGCAAACATCCAAAGAGACGGCAGTAAAAAAATATTTAATAGGTGCACACCTGCTTAACAGAGATTATAAGTTGAGCGTCCGACAAATCCTCTCGAACGATGGCGCCAGCGGAAATGTAATCCTGAAGCAATGTTAGTAGAACACCTAGCGCTCGCAACCCAGAATGTGGTGGCTCTACTGCAGGAATATTAATGGCTCTTTCAAAAAATTAGGGCTCGGAACTTCCTGAATACCGCCCTGACTCGTCTTGCGATTAGGATTACGCTTTACACCACTAAACACGTTGTATTATACATTAAGTGCCCCATAAAGGAGAAAAAGGAGGGTCGTATTCTGTGACTGCGGGGAAGGAGTCATACTTGTTTTTGGGAAAAGTTTACGGTTGTTGACTTTTCTCGCTTTTTTCTGTTTCGAGTGC